AATCGGTGTACAGCTGTGTTTATGTCATAGCATTACAATATTGGCTCACAGACATTTATTCCTTTAAATGCGTTTTTTATCCAACTGTTATCGACGTTATCCAAATTTGGAAAATATTTTAATTCTGTATACCTCCATTCTCCTCAGAATTAAACAAATAACTATTATGAAAATGAATTTTTTTTCATGGATCAATAATAAACATTCAAAACTAAATTACCAATTCCAAACTCACATCTAATAAATAAAATATATTCAAATTTTGGACACTCTTAATAATTTTGTATAAACAATTTTTAGGATATGAATTAATCAAAAGTTTTATATATATATATATATTTAGATACTATATTTTAACACATTCTACCCCACACCTACTATATGATATGCTGTGCATCATATCATTTATTGATTTCTTTGAGAGGTCGAACTCTGTTTATTTGTTTGGCTGTCACGCACTGTTTTTAAGTTGTTTTTTTTTAAGCCCACCAATGCTGTGCTAGTTTTATTTATGGGACTGGACTTTTTTGAAACCAATTATATTTACAGTTGTATCCTGATATTTTTAGATGACCTTGAAAAACGACACTTGTGTTAATGACACTATTAACTTTTTATTGACTATAATTTATTATTTTAGGAACAACATGTGTGTATTAGTATGTTCATTGAAGAATACTAAATTGGCTTTAATGTTATTTAACACGTACTACTAGTCTATTATTTTCATTTAAATTGATTTCTAGGTTCATTTTTAAGAAGAATATACAGTTCATAATCTTAGTAGCAAAATTTTGTTTTTTGCAGGACACCAATTTTAGTGAACTACCATCACCACGGAAAGCCATTTGTACTGATTATAGGTAACAACTGCTCTACAAACAGAAAACACGCAAATAAAGTACCTTGTTATTGTAGATACGAGCCTTAGTACACTAGCAACATATTCATCATCCATATGCACATTTGCACAGTGCAATACTACTATGATTAACCTATATGGACTATATCAGAGCTCTTTCAGATATGACAATCTATAACATAGTGAATTGCGTTGGCAAGAAAAGATCAGCACACTTAAATGAGGATATAAGAACCACCTAAATAACATCTCATCAACACGATTAATTCTTGCTACTATTGCAAAAATTCGGAGACTGGTCATCCAGAAATCCCCTATACCTTCCACAAAACTACTGCTAACAAGTTGCACGTATCCCATTCAACTGTGCGTAAGATCATTCACAAAGACCTTTCTTTTATAAAATAATCATAAACTCCAAGTGCACCAGCTGCTTTCTAAACATATTGGTGAGATAAACTGAAAAAAAGAACAGAAATATTTAAAACATTAGGCGAGAGTTACCAGAAATTAATGTGAGGAAAATGGAAATTTGCTATTGGTAGCTAGGTCAGTGGTAAGTTTAAGGACTTATAATCTTAACTCCGGGGTTCGATTCCTGTCGATGGACAAAGTACAGATAGCTCATTGTGTAGACTTGCATTAAGAAAACAACAATAGTTGATAACCACGATTTGAAAAGGGCTTTTCAACATCATAAGTAGAATGCATAGAATCTTTCTCGACAGGCTTTATGGCTACTGAAGGTTTCACATAAGATGGGAAAGTTAAACGAAGTCCACAGTACAATAAATATATGGTCAAAACTCTTGCTATTATCTAGATAATGTATTGGCACCAATTATACGAGATGAAGTTTCTGCACTGTATGTCCAGGAGGCCAAAAGGTATAACAACATCAGGATAAAGCGGCAAGTCACACATGGAAGTTCACCGAAGTATCTTTAGACTCATGAAACCCATGCACATTCTATTCCCTTCTACAACATGCTTGCAAAGTCAGCTGACTCCACTCTCTTGGTCTTCTATGCACTTGGTGTGCTTGAACGTGGTCTTGGAAAATTATTTCTTCTTCTTAAAAGAACCTTATTTAGAAAATCATATGTGTTTATTATTTTCACGATGCATCAGAAACTTAGATTTTTCTTGATTACATTGGTATGAAAGTTAAAATAAAGACCTTGAAATATTATTTTCGTCGTTGTTGTCCTATATGGTAAACATCACATTCACATTTACCAATGTGCTCGTTGCATACTAAATTATACTAGTTCCATCGCGATATGCCTACAAACCAGCTTAAACGAGCATGTAAGTATCAAAGTCTCCGTCAGATCGAATGTTCCAGAACATGCCTAAATAGCAGCCAGTGGTGAATGCAATCTCCATATCAACAGAATGAGGCTATAATTCAAACGAGTGAATTCAGACGTGAAGTTTGTATTTTATTGGTAGATGTAATTTATTTAATATGCAAACCTTCCTCTCTCGTTTAACACATTCTTTGACCGTTACGGATCTACCTACGTGAACTTTGACAATTACAGTCGCTGTTTAGGGAAATCCACGCTAGTAATGAATGTATTAGAAACAATATAATACAGGGGAACAACCTTAACGAATTTGAATTGCCTTTTGCTATCCCATGTTTTACATGTTCACCGAAACTCCTGGTATACTCTTACGTCTCAATGCTTATACCATAACATGTGCACTTGTCAACATTATTGTTCTACTATGAATATATGTAGAGGAAAAAGAGAAGATGTGTGCTAATTATCTCATAGCATTCTAATCTCCTGGAGACGCTTTCTCGAATTTAAAATTATGTTGTTAACATTAAAAGTATTTTGATATCATAAAACGTTGCTCAGTATATTTGTTGGGGTTAACAAGCTAAAGAGGAATCAATACACATACATGTGTGAAATAAATATAGAATTCACTTCAATTGAAAAAAATATAAATAAGCCAAGTCCAAAACGAGCTTCTTAAGTCTTTAAGTTCATTTACATCTGACCGAGTTTTAAAAAGCATTTGTTGAAAATTCAGTAAGAAATAAATGAAGGTATAACATAAGAAACCAGCTTTTACACCTTTTCTCTTATCTATCTATCGATATACATATATACACACACACACACACACACACACACACATATATATATATATATATAGTATCTAAAATAATTGTGGAAACAGTGAATAAAATGGCATAAATACAAATATTATGAACTTACTTCCGTCGCAGTACAGTCACATGCTGATAAGTTGCATTGTGATTGGCCGTCATTGAACCAATCAGATAGTATCGTAAGAGACACTGTTTATAAAAGTGCAGGCACTAATATTATTCCCAGCAGTAACGTAGCGAATGCACTCATAAAAAATTTCGCAGAAATGAACTAGAATGAAATGTTACACATATTTATTGATAAAAACTGTTCAGACTAGTTTAAAACACAACAATGTTCAGCCTGTCAAAGTTTAATTTGTCAAAATACTTCTAAATTAACTTACATAGAGATGTATTTCAATATATGTAAATTAACGCAAACTTTAATGAAATTTAAACTCGAAATTTAACGGTGATCTAAGGAAACTATATTTTGTATCCACATTCTAGTGTTTTCTCTTTCTTGGATGGGTAAGAAAGAAACATATATAGACATAAAATAAATTTGCTTCAAATCCCCATTAAATTTTACATACTATTTGACAAAAATGTTTTGTTATTAAAAATATGAAAAGGCAAAACTAGGAAAGATAGTAAAAGCAAAATTGAAGCTGAGTTTACTTTTCCAAAGTGTTTAGATAATGTAAACTAGCAACGTAATGAAACTTAAATCAATATACGGATTGTATTTATCATCTCGTGATAGTTTTGTAATCGTTGTTGTTGGTGTTTGTAACGCAAAGCTACACAAGAGACTATTTGTGCTCTATCCACCACGAGGAATCGAGCCCCGAATTTTTGTGTTGTAAGTCCTTAAACTTACCACTGACCTACCGGTGGGCTTCATGAGTGTAAGCAATTGAATTAGTGGTTTCTGTGCTTAGTCACATTAATGGTAATTGTATTTTGTTAAACAGAATAATTATTACACTTTTATATTTAAATGACAAATATTGCTATTTTGTTCAAAAGAAAAAAATACATAAATCGTAGCAGATTGTACAGAATAACAATTATTTCATGTTAATTCAAGGTGAATGAACATCAATTTCTGATAAGTTGTGAAAGAGTTCATTTTTGTGACCTGTATACATGTTGCTGACTGTTTTGGGTTTTTTTACTGTGACTTTTGTCATATCTGTATGATTTTCAGTTGTTTTTAACATTAGCTATATTTTTAACGCATTATGTACGCATTTATATTGGAAAAAGTAATTCTGAAGTATAACTAGGATACAGAAATTTCATTTCAAAACTGCAGTAGGGTTAAGCTATTAAACATGTTTAAACTAGTCATGAACTATAAAGCACTTTCATGAATAAAAAAACATCTAATAATACCAGGCTTAAACCCTGCATATATCAAGGTAATCAATCTATGGCGGTTTGTATAAATCTATTCAAGACAGATTTTGCAGTCTCATAAAGGGTTTATTCTGTTAGGTACATGATTTTTTTCACGATCTTTCCACTATAAATACAGATGTAATTCAATGAAGATTTAAAACAACTTTGAAAAGCTTCTTTCATAACGTAAAATTTAAGAATATGTTGAAGATGATGTTTCTAAAGAGCATACAGATATAACAGCTTTTAAGGGTTAGTATATTGAAAACTAATATTTTTCCCCTGAAAAGCTCGATAGTTTATACTTTTTTTGGAAATGTTTTTGTCATTTCTGAATACTATGCATCTTCTGCCTATACTTGAATGACATAATTTAGTAAGAGAGGATTAGATTCTCCATGTTTTTCTATAGAAATGGTACAGTATAAAGATTGCTACTACGGGCATAAAGATGGAAGACAGATTGGAGTGAGAAGAATGTTATCAACAGCACACTGCCAAAACAAGAAATGATGAAGACATTCATGAAGCTTAGCAATAAGAACTTCCCACACATCATTTTCTGTATTAAAGGAACGGCTTGCACTCATTGCATCAACTTCGCTGTCCCGCAGTCTTACCGTTAGTAGCAGACTTACAAGAACCTTTGAGTCGACATCTTCATAGGAGGTACGAAATTTTTGACAAGAGTAATGAATGGTCAGTTAGGTCGAATTAATGCCTAATTAGTGATACTGAAAACCCCGTAAGTTTATATTACGTTTTTTGTTAGACTTTCCTTCCTAGTTGACGTGGGATATTTCAAATATTAGACTTTGTTTAAAGAAATTATTGTACATCTATCTTAAATTTTTAATCATCTTTCATGGAAGCAGAAGTCAGTGAGCCCTTCGGTGGCTCAGCCATAGGTCTTAGGAGCGTATCATGCTAAAATTCGGGTTTAGATCCCAGTGGTGGGTAGAGCACAGATAGTCTGTTGTGTGGTGGTATTGTGCTTAACAAAAAAGTCAGTGAAATATTTTATTATCGTACATGAATAATTTTTCGAATCCAAATTAATTTTTGGCATCACAGCAATGGTACACCGTTATTTCTAATTAAACGCTACTTTCTAAAGATTATTTTCCTAGTTAACACTCTACAATTCTTGCGTTTCAAAATGAATGATGCAAAAAACAATAATTTTGAGCTTTTAAGATCAATAGATTGATCGCACAAAGAAGTTTTTTTATTGTTTTGCATGTTTTATCAAAGAAGAAGCAAGAGTAAAAAAGTGACATTTTATTGTTTCGCATGTTTTATCAAAGAAGAAACAAGATTAAAAAAGTGACATTTTATTGTTTCGCATGTTTTATCAAAGAAGAAGCAAGATTAAAAAAGTGACATTTTATTGTTTCGCATGTTTCATCAAAGAAGAAACAAGACTAAAAAGTGACATTTTATTGTTTCGCATGTTTTATCAAAGAAGAAACAAGACTAAAAAGTGACATTTTATTGTTTCGCATGTTTCATCAAAGAAGAAACAAGACTAAAAAGTGACATTTTATTGTTTCGCATGTTTTATCAAGGAAGAAGCAAGAGTAAAAAGTGACATTTTATTGTTTGCAGGGGCATCATGCATTGGACATCATTCATTATGATTCTAGGTTTCTGCCTAGCTGTCACAATAAAAGGCTGTTTTATCACAAACTGTCCTCCCGGTGGGAAAAGGTCGATAGGAACTTTTGCGACACATTATACAAGAGAGGTTAGTGGTGAAGTTCTTAATTAAAGTAAAATGTAAGAATTGAACACGGGAGAACCAGATTTAGTTGTAGAACGTCAAATATAGTGACACGCGTTTGTGTCAAACATTAAAAAATTCTTACAACTTATTTTTTTCGAATACAGATAAGTATAGTATAAAAATAATATTGGTTAATGTTTATTTTCATTCTTTCAGTGCGGACAATGCGGTCCAGGTGGAATGGGACAATGTCAGGGTCCCGACATCTGCTGTAGTGATATCTTTGGTTGCTTCATCAAAACACGCGAATCTGTTATCTGTCGATATGAAAACTTGCAAGTAATTCCTTGTAATAAGAAAGGTAAAATATGCGAGACAGTACCACATGGGTATTGCGCAGCTCCCGGAATCTGCTGTTCTGCAAGTAAGTATATTTGAGGACTGTTTTGAAGATATATATATATTAATGCACTACAGATGGTGCGATAACATCCTCAGAAGTTGTTTATACAACTACCGTGTTGGCGCTTGTTATCTTAGTCATCGCTGTATGGTAATATATTCAAAAGGAAAAACATATTCAAAACGCTTTCAGTCTATTACTTCTAAGCATTTTCGTGACGTCTAGTTACATTATAAGTACCTGATAGAAAGTCCTTTCTTTGCATTATTACCGAAAACTTGGAATAAATGAAACATTTTTCCGTGAAAAATAAATGACTTTGGAACGTTTAATGATTCATTTCACAACCAAATCACAGTAATAACGCATTTCACATAATAATGGACATAAACCAGATACTGTTGTGTTTCTTTCCAGTACTAGAGAAGCAAGATATAAGGAGTATAAAGGCATAAGATGTCAGTAGTGAGAAGTGTCTAGTTCAAAACTTTGGCTTACTGAGATTTAAATCTATAAATATTTCAAGATCTAGACAAAATAAACAAAAGATGCTCAACGTGATCTAAGGTGAATTGGTAATTGAAAATGTTTTCTGATTCTCTGAACTCAGAAAGTGCAAGTTACTATTTTGACAGTTTGATTTTTAAGCTAACATAATGAATGTATTAATCTTCCTTATAACAATTTATATAGAGTTCTAATGTTGACTATTTTTATTGGAAATTTTTTTCAGTTCAATGTGCTGTTGATGATGAATGTCCAACAGGAGTCTTGGATAAGGGCGTGGCCTATAAGTATGATCATTTACGTTTTGTTTTATTACCTTGGAATATGAATGGAAAACTACCAGACTAAACAGATAAACTACACTTCTAAAGCTTACTTTTTAGTGTCAGAAATAGTTAAATCAACAACACAAACCAGCCCCTGTGAACTAAGTAGTTATGTAATAATTACAAGTTTACGAATAATAAATAAAATGTCCTTGTATTAAACTATTGAATTCAAAGTCATGTGATTGAATCATTTTCTGTTTATTCTACGCGGACGCGGGTTGGCCTTGTGGTTGGACTTTGGATTTCAGAGCAGGCGAGCTGAGTTCGAATTCGTGTGATACCACTTTAAGATGTAGGTGCGTTATAAGAGTGACCTTCAATCCCTTAGAGTGGTTGGTGGGTAGTATGGTGCTGCTTACTAGCTGTCTTCCATCTTTTTTGGTAGTTTAAAATTAGAAACGATTGCAGGTAGCTCTAGTAGAATTTTTCATAAATACAAGTTGTTCTATGTAGTTAAAATGTTATATAGATATTAATTTTTGGTCTACATTTCAGACTTTTGAAGCAGATAGACTACCTTCCCCTGTCTGTCATCTATTTGGGACCATATATACACACATATACTAAATTTTATGAACAACAGACTTTCTTTCCGATATACATATTTTTTATGAAGAGCAACGAGCTTTATATGTTTGTTTGTGAAAGGTGGCCTGTAAGTTTTAATAGCTTTCTTGTAATTAAAGGTATCAAAATATTTTATATTATATACATATTTCATAATGTATTTCTTTATTGAATTTGAATATAACCGTAAATTTTTACTGTACTCCCTCAAACAATAATCACATTTTACAGCCACTATTAGCATTTTATAAATTAAACAACGTGTTTTAATTATGAAAAGTAAAAGGTTCAGAGTGTATCAGAAGACCCTCTGTAGCATGAACATGTTTTTATTTAGGAGGCTAAAACAGAAAAACAAAATGTGTTGGATTTTAGTTTGTGAACTTTAGCACAAAGCCGCAGAATGGATTATCTGCACTGTGTCCACCTTAGGGATCGAGTCCTGTATCTTAGTGATATAAGTCCTCAAGCTTAAATGGGCAGTTAGTTGTCATAACAGATTTTAATTGAAATCCTTAACGACAAATTATGAAGAACATTAAACACACGCACACACACACATTTATATATATATATATATGTGTGTGTGTCCGCTTAATGCTTTAACATGCTTCGCCAGCTGTCGACGTGCAAAACCATAACTTAGAAATATATATATTATACTTTTACCTAATGTAGATTTGGTTTACTTTAGCTGTTGATAAGCTCAAAACTATACAATGGGCTATCTGGTCTCTGCCAACACGGATATTGAAACCTGATCTTTTAATGTTATATGCCCTCATACTTACCGCTTAGCCCACTTAATGTAGAAAAAATAATAATTACTTGTACTTCTCTCAGACACGTGTAAAATCATAAATAGATAAATTATTTGTTTGTATGTAATTAAGCCCAAAGCTACATAATGGGCTATCTGTGCTCTGCCCACCACGGGTATCGAAACTCTGATTCTAGCGTTGTAAGTCCACAGACATACCGCTGTGCAACTAGGGGCAAATAGATAAATACAGTTAATTAAAACCAACATTTTTTTGTGTTTACACAATAAACATCATTATTATTTCAGAGATTGTAGATCAGTGTAAAATTATAATTAAGTTTATTGTACAAACAAAAAAGACGTTGTTGTTTTTAAATGTAACTATTTATATGTGCGACTCTCAGCTTTCATGTCTGGGGTAAATTTAAATAAAACATAAATATTTTATTCACTATTCTGGCATAAGTGTTTTTTGCACTTAATTAAGTCTCATAGTTGTGTTGTGAGTATACTGTAGAATTAATGTTTTTTATTTTAGTATTTGAATAACAAAATATTAAATAAACTCTCGAAACAAAGTAACTAAATCCTTGTTATAATTTATAGAAAACTAATGAAAAATTAATTAGTATTGTACTGAATTTATTTTTATACTTAACGGTTGTTTATATGTATCATATTGATAGAGAACATTTTTACAGGGTTATAATAAATGAAGAGGGATTCTGCTACGGACTTTTTGTTACTAGCATCACCTGGTGATAAAATGTATCAACTAAAACATATTGCGCAGTAATTACGGTGTATCCGTGTATATTTCTCAAATGTTTGTTTGTTTGTTTGTAATTAAGCACAAAGTTACACAATGGGCTATCTATGCTCTGCCCACCACGGGTATCAAAACCCGGATTCTAGCGTTGTAAGTCCGCAGACATGCCGCTGTGCCACTTGGCGGCATTTCTTGTAATTAAGGTAATGCTAATTGAAATTGGTATTTACCAAATTTACTTATGTACAAAATTTATTACAATGAACTGATTAAGAAATACATAGTTCGTTGGTTTTAGCGCAAAGCCACATTAGAATAATTTCAGTATTTTTTTGTAGTTAAGCACAGAGCTACACAATGGGTTTTCTGTGCTTTGCCCACCACGGCTATTGAAACTCGGCTTTTAGCGATAAAAGTCTTCAGACCCAACTATGAGCTAATTAGAAGGGGGGTTCAGTGATCATTGAAATAGAAAGAGAGATACAAACGAGTTTTTATTATATGTCTTAAGTGTCTGCTGAGTTTGCTTTAGAGTAGTTAGTGATTTGTAATGTTTTATATCTTGCTACTGACTAATATATAACATCCCCAAAATAGACTATTTTTTTGTTTTATTTCGCGCAAGGCTACAAAAGACTAATATGTGCATAGCCGTCCCTAATTTTGAACTTATAGATAGCTCCTCAAGACCAACCACTGCCAACTCTTGGAATACGCTTGTCTGACCAAAAAGTAGAATTTGACTGTCAATGTTATATCATTGGCACAGTCCCTGAGTGAGGAGTGCGTTTTTTCGACAACTGGACGCGAGCCATAAACTCTTTCGTCCACAGTCCCGGAACGCTAACCCCCTAAACCATTCCAACCTAAAAATATATTAACTGAAACAACTAGTTCTCTTGACGTTCCTTGTAGTGACGTAATGAATTTTCTAATATCATGTTTCTGTATGTTACAGGTGTCTGTGAACTTTATACAAATAAACTTGTATAGAGAGAGAGACACAATTATCTGCTAATTTATTTTATGTAGGGTGAAAAAGTCTTACAACCTAGAAATTAAAAATATTAGAAATATTAATATTAGTATCTACAAATTTCACCGTTTTTATAAGTCGAAAATTAAACAGTTCAAATCACACAATTTCACCATCAGATTTCATAAACTAATCATTGAAAATGGGATATTTTAACTTAAAGATACTTTTTTGCTCCTATAATTTTAAGTCATGAAGTGCCAGGAAAAAAAAAATTGGTTTAGTTAGCAGAGCGGTAACAGTTTTCTTTCTTTTGACGAAGAAAACACAATGGTGCTTTTTTATAGCTTTTACGTTTTACCTTTTCCGTATCAGCGGGATAAAAGTAAAACCTCGGAGGAGTAAAATCGACAAGAGATACAACCGGTTTTGAGGAGCTACATATGTCTTGGTATTCTCATTCGTAAACATAGTACTCATGCCGTTGTTCTGTGTTCAATTACTGTTAAAGTTTCTCATGTGTGTATCCATTGTGTATTCATACCTGCTCGTCTTAATTATTCAAATACACGAGGTACATGTGAATTCAGAATATGCATATACCCGGTTTTTAAGTGCACTAGTTGTAGAAGTACACGAGACATATACGTAGTTACAGTATGTATGCATATCTGTTTGTACCATATATTGAAGTCACACCAGATACATTTGATAGCATTAAACTTATTGTTGGACCAGTTATCAACGCGTCTTGACAGGCATGAAATTTCTTATTGTTGCACCATCTTATCAACACTAGTTGACAAGCATAAAACTGCTTATTGGTGCATCATATTAGCAATGCGTCTTGGTAAAACGTTGGTGCTGAAAAAGTACAAACAACTCAGAAGCATATCAAACGTATAAAACGTTTTCTGTTGATGTTGTTTCCTTTCACTTTCCAGTTCAAACTAAGTCTGTTAAATATTCCAATATATTATTCTCAACATGTTCTATTAGCATATTCTACAGTTATTCCGAATACCTTTTATGTGTTACACAGCAGTAGTACAAAGTTACATTTTAAAAAGTTTTATTCTCTTAGCTACAAATATACACCATAACGAGACGTATCCGTACATACCTTAATGTCTTCACACTGAAATTCCGTTATTTCTAGCCTTCCTTGCCATAATACACATCAATTATTTGTCCGTCCTTATGTACTTTCTGGACAGACATTATGTGCGACAAATGCTGTGTTAAGCCTATTGAACAAGCTAGAGAGTTCTCTAAGAAAGACTGCTGACTTTAAATGTAAGTAGGTATTGAATAGTTAACTGAATCTAACACAATTAATTGCAATAAAAGATTTCTCAACACAGTTCAAACTTATGTTATACACTTAAAACATTACCATATACATTGTATATCTTTACAACGGAAAATTCCTTTTCCACTAGGATTCAATTTGTTTTATGACAAATTATATTTTATCAAGATATTTCAGAGTTCTACACAGTTTTATGTATATAATGTTATGTATTAGAATTTCAAATAGCCTGAAATTGAGTTAACTGATAATTTAAATTTAGTAGTTAAATTGTACTTTGAAGTTTTCAGATTGGCAAGCGTTATAACAATCACAGTTATAGCTTCCGAAGTTTATAGCACGCTGATTATAGCGAACTAATAATAGATACTCACCTCTTTTGGCGCGTCGCGTTGGCTATATTGATAGCGTGTGGAGGCGTTCTAGAAATTTCAGTTTTATGTACCAATACTAAATAAAGCGTTTACGTACAAACATATATTGTTGATTCTTACTCTCGAGAATCTTTTACAACTTTGGAAAATAGGCGGGAGTTTCGCAATACATATTTAACACTACTTACAATACATAAATGACTGAAAGCATAAAGAAAATAAATTGGAATTATTGTAAATTATTAATTAGGATCAAAGTTACAATTTTATGTCCTTTATAGAAATTTCACGACTGTAGCTGCGAGTAGAACGAGAATTTAA